TCTGGTTTGTTTTTACTTTCAGTGCAGTAGTATTTGATTAAAGTGGTGATGTTATTTTTAAAGCTGCCCATGAACTTAAAAAAAAAAATTAACTAACCCCCCCTTATATTGGTCTACATCCTTTGCTGTTTTGCTGAGGCTACTAGGTGTATGTGATAGTTCTCTGTTAGAGGGACAGCATTGCCAGGGCTGTTCTCCAGTGACCTGTGATCTCATCTTGGCTCAGGCTTCTCCACAGTGACACTCACACAGGCAACAGCAGCAGGGCAACAGGTACAGATGATGCCAACGGTGACTGCCACAGCCCAAGTGGTGCAGCAGAAGCCCCTTCAGCAGCAGGTGGTCACTACAGCCTCTGCCTCACTGCAGACCCCTGGTGGTCCAGCCCCAGCACAGCTTCCAGCCAGCTCTGACAGCCCAAATTACAGATGCGAGTCCCTGCTGTGAGGCTGAAGACACCCACCAAGCCTCCATGCCAATAGGAAGGAAACTGGTTGGTACTATGGAAAGGCTGTCTTAGCAGAATGCTCTACTGTTTTTGGACTCCGGGATCTGCTGGTACCAAGGTTGGCCAAAGTGATTTGACTTTCTCCTGTGTGTGAATAACTGAAAAAGCGACAGTTGCAGTCTTTGATGGTTTCACTGTGTGGGCAATGTCCACATCAGTCTTTTGAAAAGCCTTTAGTTTCTTCTGTAGTGTACACTACTCAGTTATGTGGTAGGGGCAGCATGTCCTACAGCAGGCTCCAGCTCATTGAATGTTCAGGGAGATGTAGGAGACAAGAGCAGACCATCAGATGCCCCAACCCCACCCCTCTTTCCAGAGCCTTCACTCAATATGCCAGTGAGGTCCTAGCTTGCATTATGAGCACCCATCTTGCACCAGTGGGCAGTGGCTTTCCTTTGAATGAGGCTCTGGGACTGACACCATTTCTGTATAGCCAAGTTTGTGTTTATACACACTGTACTGAGATCCTTTACAGTATTCTTGTGAGAAGCTAGTGTGGGTTACATGTATAGGGCAGCCTGGTGCAGTTGATACCCAGGTTCCCTTATTGTTGTCCTGGTCTAGTCTGGAAGGCATTGTTGTTGTGCCACCCCAGCAGCTCTTCATGGATTTAAACAGCTGTTGCAGGGACAGGCCTGCAATTGAAGGAGAAAGGGTTGGAATGAAAGTTCAGTCCTAAGTTCTTACCACTGTAAGGTGACTTGTATGGCATTCTTGGGCATAACAGGCTGACTGTGCCTTCTTACCTGCCAGAGTTGAAGGCCCATGTTCCCCATCAGTGCTGAAGCCTGGAAGTTAAGTCTGTGAGGTCTATGCTGTCAGAACTGCATGCAGCCTTGAAGACAGGAGTTGTATTGTTTGAGTATTCTTCCCTGCCATGTCCATCCCACTTTTTGTGCACTGTGTGGGCAGGAATGTGACAATACATCCTGAAGCCCACCTAGAACTCATTTTTGAGTTCATAATGTGAAACTTGGGATAAAAGTAGCAATTAGGTGTTGAAAAACCAGAAGAGGTTTAATATTTTCTGAACCACAAACCTGTCCTACAAGCAAAAACCCATTGTTTTGGCTTAGTGTGTGCTGTGTTAGGGGAAGAATAGCCCTTGGGAGGTTCCTGGGTACCTGGCTCCCAGAAGCAATTCCTATTCCTCATAGTCCTCAGGCAGAACTGAGCTCAGTGGGGGTCCTTGGTCAATGTTGCACTCACCTTTTTCTCCATCCTTCCCACTGTTGTGGCAGCATACTTCAGTGTGTCCAAGCCAGGTGGTTGGTGGGAGCAAGAGGCAGGGTCTTCATTTTTGGCAGTTACTTTCATCCATTTTTCAACCAGATAGCTGTTGTTTTCTTTTTTTTTAAAAAAAATGTAATAAACAGGACTGAAATTGTAAATACTTTGTAAACACAAACATTTGTATTTGAATAGGGTTTTGATGTCCTACAAGCAAAGGCTAATAAAAGTGACCTTTCTACATCCTTGTTTTGTCTTTCATGACCAGTGTTTGGAGTAAGGATGTGTTGGTTAGAAAACAAAGCCTTCTGTGTATGTATTGCTCCAAAGCAATGCAGGGCTTGCATGTTCAAAGTCTTCCTCTTTAGTTCCTTGGCCTTGAAGCTACTGACATCTGGGTTCCTGTGCAGCTTTCCACCATGGGTGCTGTGTCTGTTTCAGGACTTCACAGTGCTAAAAGGGCTGCAAGTTGAGACCCTCTTCAGGCACTAGGAAGTAAGTAGAAAAACACCAGAAAAATAATGTTTTGATTTCTACTTAGAACTGTCATGCAAAAGTCAGCCTTCACACCACTTCCTTTCTGAAAGGCCTTGGGGGTTCAGCTCGTACCCAGTCTCACGCAAGCAGATCCCAGGTGGCCCTCCCTGGCTGGTCCCATGGTGTGTCCACCACCTTCACTAGATGCCTGATGTTGTACAGATCCAACAGGTGACAGTCGAGTGCTGATCTTGATCAAGATAGTAGATGTGATCATTTCTGACACTGTCCATAAAAATGGACCTCAAGGTGTAGTGGTACACAACCCTTAATCCCCAGCAGAGAGGCAAGGGGGTTAAAGTTAGCCAGGGGTTTTCAGAGGGGGAATGGGGAAAAAGGACTCACTTTCCTGCCTATCCCTACCCACTGCACAACCCTAAGGCTGACCCAAACTCATTCATCTTGCCTACCTGCCTACCAAGTCATTTTTCCCACCACACATTGTATGGAGCTCACAAAGAGCTTCACTCTGTCTTTATTGACAGCAAAGCAAGCACCCCACAGGGAATACTTTATAGAAATCTTTAGCTGAGTTTCACAAGGGAAAAGTCACTGGGTCCAATCAAGCCCAACTGACCCAGATAACAGACATAATTATTTATCAACCAACCAATCTTTATGGTAGATTTTAGAAAGTTGCTTCCAAGTCTTTATTTGCTGCTTAAAAAAAAAAAAGATACATGTGCATTATCTGGGTCAGGGCATGAAGAGTACCTAAGATTACAGTAAAAGTTTGACACACAGTAGGATAGCAGTCTTAAGTAACTTCAAGATGTATTAACTTTGTCACCAATAATACTTTTGAAAAAGCTATATTGGAAACCTTCTATAGACACATTCTAATATATACATACTAGTTTAAATGAAGTTACTCTATGTTGGGGCGGGGGAAGCTCAAAATCCCAACTAGATAACACATGCTAGCAAATAACCACGGAACCAGGAATGGGTTCCCCTTTTGAGGACTCCCAAACACTGCAGGCAGCTATCATGTAGGTACTAGAAACCAAACCTCTGCATCACAGAAAATGCTCAATTACTAATCTCTAGCCTCTCACCCACTTTCTGATTGGATCAAAGGCCTGCCCCATGTGATAGAACCCATATTAGGTACTGTTAATGGGGCCAAGAACTTGTGGTTAGACAGATTATGGGCTCGAAAAACAAATACTATTATTCTGTTAATGAGCATACTGTTAAAATGACTTTTGATGATATTCCCATACCCATAGATTAAGTGTACCTCTCAGCTCTCATCATAGAAGGTGACTGCACTAGATGGCCGCTGCTCAGCTGGTACAAAGTAAGAGACTGTGTGGAGTGTTGGGCCTAAAGGGAACATTCCATCCCTCTCTCCAAGGCAGAGGGTACAGAGAAAAGTAAGAGCCAGAGGTGGGCTCTTCCAGAGGTCCTGAGTTCTATTCCCGGCAATCACATTGTGTTTCCACTAGAAACAACCCTTCTCTGCAAGCACCATGGTCCTCTTGGACTAGGCAGCCTAGATGTTGGCTTGGTCCTGAAAAGTAATGGCCCTTGGTTTGTATTGCTGGGGTCCAACTGTCTTTGGAAATAAGCTCAGGTAAAGCTGAAGGGTGCCTTCAGGAATGTGATGAAAAACTATGGTCAGCCTTATAGTGACAGCAGATTAAAGTGTGCCTAGCATTAGCATTTCATGTCTACAGAGAGACTGTGGTGAGCCTGTCCCAGACAAGTCACTGAAGTCCAGGAATAGGTTGGTTTAAGATGTTTCCATGGCTACTAGCCTTCAAGATGGTACCCACATAAGCATGAAGTAAATTACAGGAGAGTGCTTGCCTGAACATAGTCAAAGAGACTGTGCTTTTTGTAAAAAAATAAATAAGTAAATAAAAAGAAAGAAAAATCTATAGTATTAAGATAAACTGTTTTCATTTATATTTAAAAAAATGGATAACTTGAACTCATGCCAATTTCCTGATAGCTTCAACACACTAATACCCCTCTAATTCAGGACACCTAGGCTAGCTCAAGAAAGCAACACAGGCCACTGGCACCATCCTCAGGCCCTTGCTGACTCTAGGATTTTGTTCATGAGATTAATTTAGAATCTGCTAGCAGCTAGTCTGAGAGTCAGACGTCCATTTTATTGTTGACATTACTAATGCTTTGAACATCTTATACAATGAAATGAAATCTCCACTCATCTCCGCACCCACCTAAGTACAAAGTTTTTTGTCATTCTTTTTAAACCTACTGAATTGATTTTGTTGTTTACTCAAAAGTGCCTACAAGGGCTCACAGGACAAAGAAAACTGACTTCCAGCAGCAATGAAATGCCAGTAGTTCTTCCTCAGCTACTGGTAGAATTGTGCATGCTGTCATATTGTTCTCTTGTGTCTGGAAAAAAGCTTTCCTTTAAATTATGCACCACCTTATTCTGCCTCCATGTATGACTGGTAGGCCACCTTCTGGACACTTGGGTCCCTGAGCTGTGGTGATGTCATTGGGGAGTCTTCAGTTGACCCTTGGTTCCTGTCTGCTGTAGATCATTGATGAGGCTGACTGGATGATAGACAGCATGCACCAATCCTGGCTGCCCAGAGTGGTGGCAGCAGCCTTCTACAGTGCAGGCCCCTCAGGCTTCTGTGCCCTACTCCAGAGGACACAGCCCCAGGCTGTGACTGCTGCCAGGTATCCTGCTGCTCCCTTTCTCAGCTCCCCAATGACATCACCACAGCTCAGGGACTCAAGTGTCCAGAAGGTGGCCTACCAGGAAGCGGAGCTGCTGGAAGCTGAATCCTGGGGTCTGGTCAATGTGGTCCACCAGGCGGCCAGGTGTGGCCACCACAATATCAGCCAGGCATCGGTAACCATCTACCCTACAAACCAGAAAGACTCAAAGAAGGGCCATCGAACAGCAAAGCCTCACATGTAAAGTACTACACCGCCCTAATCAAAGGACACCTGCAGAGCCCACCACCTGGCACACCTACGTCTTCTGGACAAGGCTCTCCTGCTCCTTGGCCAGTGACTTCTGTCCAGTCACCAAAGCAACCCGCAGAGGTGTGGTATCCGTGTAGATGTTGAATACTTTGCTCACCTGCAAAAGGAGTCTGTCACTGGTCTAAAATAGACGGTGGCCCCTGCTATGACAAAGACTCTTGAGTTTAACACAGGTGGTCAAGGGATAAGTACCGTGTACATCCAGCAGGGTAACTAAAGCTGAGGATACAGACTTCTGGATACAGAGGGGCATACCTGTTGGGCCAGCTCCTTAGTAGGAAGCACAACCAGTGCACGGATGTGGCAGACCACTCGATGCAGCAGGGCCTGTAGGGACAGAAATGAGCTGTGCCACCAGGACCCTCCCTGCTGTGCTCTAGCTAAGAAATGTGTACTCTGATACTCACTTGTACCACAGGGACAACAAATGCCAGTGTTTTCCCACTGCCCGTTGGGGCAGACACACAGAGGTCACTAGGTTGGTATCCACCTCTGCCTACTAGAAACCCACTATCTGCACTCTCCAAGAGGGCAGGAATCACAGCTGCCTGGACTGTAACGAAGGAAGAAAAGGAACAGGTGAATTATATGCTAGGATATACCATGTCACTCAGGAGATCAAAAGATGGCACCTGGATTGGATAAGACCTAAGATAATCATCAGGAACCTGAGCCCAAGGATGCAGAAGCTCACTGATCCAGTGTGAAGTAGGTACCCCTAAACCACAGCCCTTATATTGGAGCCCTGACAGCCGAGGGAAGGCTGCTTTGGGGAGTTCACCCCATCATCTGTCCAGGGCTGAAGGACCTGGAAAGTAGGAAGAGATGCCATTAGCCCTCAGCTGCTTCTGCAAGTCAGGGTGAACCTCATGGATGTCTTCGATAGGAGTAAGATCCTCAGTGACGCTCTTCTTGACCCAGCTTGGCTTTGCCAGCCATGCTGGCAGGAAAGGCTGGACCTAAAAGAGCAAAAAGAACCACAAGAGTTCTGCAGAGCCCTTCAGGCTCATGGAGCAACAGAAGAGACCCTAACAGCAGCTCTATAGAGGCACCTAGGGAGTGTAAGTGCTGGAAAACGAGGGCAAACATTAGTAGGGTGAAGAACGTATTAGCAGGGCAGGTTTCCTTAAGCCACCCTGACTCTCATTTTAGGCCAGCAAGGGGAGCTAAGAAAGGGAGCAGCACTCACATGGAGCAGTCAACCCTGATGCAAGAGCTGACTTAGTCAACCCTTCACCACCACCCATTCTTGGCAGTCTTCGGACAAGACGCCCAGACCAGCAATTGCCTCACTACGGCCAGAAATGTTTCTGCGGGGGCCGCCAGACACACCAGTGTCCAATAGGTCTTACACGTCTGTGGACTTCAGTTTCAAGAGTGTCCACACATACCCTAAGGAACTCTATAAGCCTCCCGCCATTCTATAGTTAGGGCCACGTAAGGGCAAAAACAAAACAAAACCCACAAACAACACTCCCACCCCGCCCCGATAAAGCTTAAGAGTAGCGGGCGGACGGCCAGACTTACTCACCTTCAGTGTCTTCCTTCTTGCAATGTTCCCCAGCACAGGCCCTGGAGCCGGGGGTCTCGGGGCCTCCTCTGGGGGCTTCTCACCTGAGTCCTCTAAGTCGGTGTTGAGCTCTCCAGGCGACTCTTCGCCTCTCCCCGCGCGACACAACAACAGAGGGGACATAAACTCCGCAGCGCACCCAGGAAAAAGACTCCAAGCCCCGTCCACACCTCGGCCACATAGCCCACTTGCATGCACACTGTAGTCCGCTTTCTGCCGCTTCGCCCTAGGGGCCTCCGGGCTCTGAGCCACAGAGCAGCCACGCCGCCGCGGGGGCCGTAGACGCCGCCTGCCTGCCGCTTCCGAGGCCTCCCCGGCGGGTTCAGGCTTCGGTTCCTGCTGCTGCCGCTCACCGGCTCGGTTCTGCAGCCGCTCGAGCAGCACTGGTGACCGGCTACCCGCCTCTATCTCTGCATCCCCCAGTCCGGAAGCCTCCGGGCCTGCGTACCGTGCTACGTGGAATAGTGCCATAGTCGCAGCACGCTGTAGCTCTTCCTCGGCGCTCCCTGATGACGTGACCAGGCCGCGCCATCGCCGACGTCACAGGCGCGACCAAGCTCGGCAGTCCCTCGCGGCGGCATGGATCGTCACCTGGCTTCGGCGGGCTCCCGTGGGGAGCTTGGCCGTCTACTACAGGCGGTGCTAACGAGCCGTGGCCAGGCCAACGCGGTGTTTGACATCCTGGCTGTACTTCAGGTGAACCGCGCGGGCGGCGGGGGCGGCCCTGGGGCGGCAAACGGGAGGCACAGCTGGGCCCAGCGTCACCCTTTCTGACCTCCCGCCTCAGTCCGAGGACCCTGAGGATATCCAGGAAGGAGTGCGTGCGTGCAGCCGACTCTTCGGTACCTTGCTGGAGCGGGAAGAGCTCTTCGTGGGCTCGCTGCCGCGCGAGGACGGGGTCCTGGCAGGTAAAGTGACCTGGAGGGGCTGGGGTGCTGTCCGCCAGGCCGCCCCAACGGGACCCGCCTTATTAAATGACACCAGGAGGAACACGCCAAGCCGGGTCCCTGTAGGAGGACTCAGTCCATTGTGGCTCAGAATGTGAGATCCGTGTACTTGCCAGGCCTACACGAACTCGTATACTAGCAACTTTTTTCCTCAGGGTTTTAATTGTGCCACTTCAAAGTTTGGTGCTGTCACTGCCCCAGTGTTTGGGAGATCCAGATCCTGAGGCAAAGTGAGAAGAACTGTATTTTAATATCTAGTCCCAGTTTGCAGAGGTCAGAAATGGTCTTTTCCAAGGCCTGGTCTGGGTACAGGTTCACAACTGAAGATGGGAGACCTTGGGAAGGCGGGACTGGGTTTAGGACCTTGGTCTGGCTTGGCACACAAACATCAATGGGAGTTAGCTCTCGTCTGTTCTCAGGATCCCAGGGAGCCACACACAAATACAAAGTTTGGATGAGACACCGCTATCACAGCTGCTGTAATCGCCTGGAGGAGCTCCTGACCCATCCCTCCTTCCAAGTCAAGGTGAGTCTTGAAGTCCTTGGCCCAGCTTCTCTAAAGCACAGGTGTAGGGGCTGCTTTTGTGAACACCTCTCTTCCTGTTTAAGAGAAGTTACATGTCTTCATTGCTCTTTTTCTTCCACAAAGATTTATGGTATGGTATTTGTGGTATGATTTATCTGGCTCTGCAGATGTGGTGTCTGTAACCCTAGTTCTGGGCACCGTATCTGCATATTGTCATGTTTGGTGTGGTATCTCCAAAATTGCTTGATAAGAGAGCAGTTAGGTGGCTTCCCCTGCAAGCCCAGCTTGTGTACATGCCTCAAGCCAAATTCTAAGTTCTGTCCCAAGTCAACAAGAGCATGTCACTGTCACCATCATCACATACATGTAACACGGAGCAAGGTAAGATGTGGTCTCCTTTCTCTCCTACTTCTTGGCCCGGGCCAAAGCCTGGTTGAGAGCGACCCTGAGGCTAGGTGAACTCTGGTAGGCCATCTAGATGGGGACATCATGGTTACTCTTTCTCTGCTTCCCAGGAGCTGGCCCTCAAGACACTCATGAAGTTTGTGCAGCTGGAAGGAGCGAAACCCCTGGAGAAGCCCCAGTGGGAAAGTCACTACCTCTTTCCCCGCACACTCTTCAGGGTAAGGCCTTAGTGGGATCTGGAAGACTGTGGTGGCCAAACCTAAGATGGTTTCGTTAGTTTCCTGAACAGATAGCTGGGGCATATTATGTTCCTGTCTTGCTTTGACCTGGGAACTAAGCAAGGCTTACTGCTCACAGGTCTCTGTTGTAGCACAATTAATAAAAACCCAGAGACAGATATTGGCATTCAGCCTGAAGTTCATAAAAGCAAAATAGCCATCCACTGGCTTTTACCTCTACCTCAGTCTGAAATGGTGATGCTGCCTCCAGGAATCCTCAGAACCAGACTGAGAGCTGTCTCCTCGCCTCCTATATTCCTCTCTAGTGCTGGAACTAAAGGTGTGCACTACTTCCGACCAGTTTGGATGGCAAACTAGTATAGCTTCTAGGATTAAAGGTGTGTGTCACTACTGTCTAGTCTGTAAGGCTGACCAGTGGGGATGTTTTACTCTCTGATCTCCAGACAAACTTTATTGAAATGCAAATGAAATATCACTATATTCTGTCTTGTGAATTGGAGAGGAAATGGCAGACAGCCTGGTGGTGTGGAGCTTGATGGATGGTGACATCCTTCTTCACCATGCTAGGACCATTTTGTGGAAGAGAGTCATTCACCCTGTCTTTCTCCCCAGGCAGTGGTAGGAGGCCTGCTCACACCCGAGGATGACCACAGCCTGCTTATCTCCCAGTTCTGCGAATACTTGGAATATGATGATATACGGTACCACACAATGCAGGCGGCCACAAGCACTGTAGCCCAAGCCACCAGCCAGCAATCTGAGGTAAAAAGCTGGGTTCCATCACCATCCTATGTCCTAGTGCCTCAGGGAGGCAAGTAGATGGCAACAGCCTGGACAATTGCTCAGGCTAGGCTTTCTGCAGGTGTCACCCACCTTCTGGAACAATGCCTTCATGTTGCTGTCTGCTGTGAACCTGCCCCTCCAAGAGCATGACCTTACCAAGTTCTATGTGAAGCACACGCGTGAGTTCTGAGCAGGTTAAGGCCCACTGGAGCCTGACCCTGGTAGGAGGGCTCCTGGAGAGATCCAGGCCTCAGCCTGGCTAGCCACTGTCTTCCCCTTTTTGCTGTGATTTCAGAGACGTCAGACAAGTGGAAGGTCATTCACTTGAAGGTGAGATGCTTTCAGAGACTGAAGACCTTCTTTGGCAGTTATAGGCAATAGCATGTACTCCATTGTCTCAAGTGATGCCACTTTTATGTGTTACTATAACCAGCTTCAGACCTGAATCCTGTGCCCCTCTGTTCTTTGTCTCTCCTTGTGCTGAGACTTGGCATCACAGACTGGCCTGGGTCTTTCAGGGTCAAAGGCCCACAGTTGACTGCAGAAGGACTGGGTGGGTCTGGGGTTTATCAGGATACACATATTTCCTGGTCCCGTTGCAGGAGCACAGAAAAGCTTTCCAGGAGATGTGGCTTGGGTTCCTTAAACATAAGGTAGGGTGTGGTGGGTGAAGCCCCTGGTTTTATTGTGGGCAAGGGAAGCAGCTCCGTGACTGCCATGATCTCTACAGCTGCCCCTCAGCCTCTACAAGAAGGTACTAGTGGCTATGCATGACTCCATCCTGCCCCACCTGGCTCAGCCCACCCTCATGATTGACTTCCTCACAAGTGCTTGTGATGTGGGTGAGTGAGACTTCCACTTAGGTTATTCGGCAAGGGGTACTCACTGTGCATGGGCCCAGCTGCCATCTCCTGCCTGACAGATCTGAGCTAAACTCCCATAACCTCCCTGCATGTGAACGTAGGTAGTCAGTCTCTCTATAGGCTGGCCACCTGCATCTATGCCCACTCTTCCCTTACCTACTAAGGCCCAGGGTGAGCAAGGTGTAGGTAGCTTCATGTCTTCCTGTGTTTCTGCAGGTGGTGCCATCAGCCTCCTGGCCTTGAATGGGCTTTTCATCCTAATCCATAATCATAACCTGTGAGTACCAAATAGGACCACTCTGGTCTGCTGTCTAGTTTTCTCTCAAAGGCCTTTGTTGCTCACCTGGGAAGTTAATGCAGAAGAGGTGCAAGAGGAGGAGCCTTGCTTACCTGGGGGGTTCTGTCCCTTTAACCAGTTCACCTCCTGTGTCCTCTCTGCTCCCTCCCTCAGGGAATACCCTGATTTCTATCAAAAGCTCTATGGCCTCCTGGATCCATCCATCTTTCACGTCAAGTACCGAGCCCGGTTCTTTCACTTGGCCGACCTCTTCCTTTCCTCCTCGTGAGTTTTGGGAATATCCAGCTCCATGGTCTGTGGGGGCTATAGTTCTGGTTAGGGAGGCAGTGGAAGGATGTTTGGGGACCTATTTTCTCATACCTATTTCCCTCTCAGCCACCTCCCCGCCTACCTGGTGGCTGCCTTTGCCAAACGCCTGGCCCGGCTGGCCTTAACAGCACCTCCTGAGGCCCTTCTTATGGTCCTGCCCTTTATCTGCAACCTGTTGCGTAGACACCCTGCCTGCCGAGTTATGGTGCATCGTCCACAGGGCATTGGTAAGTGTGAGTAGCTGGGCATCATGGCAAACCCTGGCTCCTTTGGTCCAAAAGGCCAGGTGGCAAATGGAATCTTGATCCTGTTTGTAGAGCTAGATGCTGATCCATATGACCCAGTAGAGAAGGACCCAGCCAGGAGCCATGCCTTGGAGAGCTGCTTGTGGGAGCTGCAGGTGAGTCATCTGCCTGTCCAGCCTCTAGAAGGCATTTGAGTCTCCACTGACACATCTCCAGCAGCCCCTAGAGATCTTGGTCACACAGGGCACCATGCCAGGGTATGCTAAGATACTCGGTTGCTGGTGACCCCACACTGGCTCAGGGCTTCAAGCTCCATTCTAAGGCCCTGCTGCTATGTCATGAGGTTTCTGACATCACTCTAACTTGCTCCTAGACTCTTCAGCAGCACTACCATCCTGAGGTATCCAGAGCTGCCGGGGTCATCAACCAGGTGCTATCTGTCCCTGAGGTCAGCATTGCGCCACTCCTGGAACTTACTGCTTATGAGGTGAGAGCTGTGCACAGGGCTGTTGGGGTGCAGGCCATGGGGACTACTGCATCCAGCCCAATGCCACCCATTGTCTGTCCTTTGCAGATCTTTGAGCAGGACCTGAAGAAGAAGGCACCTGGGTCAGTGCCCCTGGAGTTCATCCCATCCAAAGGCCTGCTGGGCCGACAGGATCACCTCTGCACCCAGTTCTTCACTCTCACCTGACCTGGCCTCATCTCCTAAGAATTTTCTTTTTGTGTCTGAGACAGACTCTCACTTTATAACCCAGGCTGGCCTGTAACTCGTGGTTCCCCTGGCTCAGCTTCCCTGGTGCTGAGGTACAAGGGTCTACCACCATGTCTGCGTTCAAATAAATGTTTTTTTTTTTTTTTTTAA